GCAGCTTTTCCTCTGGTATCTGCAGGGCCGGATTCCTGCACAGTGTGCTCTGACCATGCCACACGACTCCCCATGTCAGCGACACACGCAGCTCACTGCTAAGGCCATTCACAACAAGTATAAAAGCTCCGATAAAAACAAGACCTGAGCGCTCACTCAGCTAACATTTCAAATGAAATAACCAAAATTACGTTTATTTATGAAAGTGAATTCCACAGTCTGCACAATATTCGCAGATTTTATATCGTGACGATATTTATATAATACTGAAAGTCGATCGTAGCTCTGGGCCTGGCGCAGCTAATATGCAATCAATCGACCCTTTAAAATTTGCCCTTTCCAGCTGTGACTTGTAATACCGAATACTGCGAATTGTGTTAATGGATTACTAGGGTACTGTCCTCCACTTGGTTCATAAATCCACACTTCAACCCAGGACTCATAACACTCTATATAAACCGTGTCTGATTAGAGCACATTGTAATACCTAGCTTATAAAAGTACACTCTGATACCTGGCTTATAAAAGAGCATTTTAATACCTGGCTTATAAAATGTTACTGTAATACCTGCCTTATAATAGAGCACTTTAATACCTGGCTTATAAAACTATACTCTTACACCTGGCTTATAAAAGTCAATTTGAATCTTTGTGTTATAAAAGTAGATTGGCATATAAAATTGTATCTTTAAGACCTGATCAGTGTATATCTTCAATACCTGTCTTCTAAAGGTATATCTACCATACCTGTCTTATATATGTATTTATTAAATACCTGATTTATAAATGTATATCTTCAATAACTGTCATATGAAAGAATATATTTAATACCTGTCTGTATACCTTTACTACAAGGTTTATAAATGTATATCTTCAATACCTGATTTATAATTGTATAGCAATACCTGTCTTATTAAAGAATATATTTAATACCTGTCTGTTTATCTGCAATACCTGATTTATAAATGTATATCTTCTATACCAGTCTCTATATCTTTAATACAAGGTTTATAAATGTATATCTGCAATACCTGATTTATACATATATGCAATACCTGTCCTATAAAAGTATATCTTCAATACCTGTCTCAATATCTTTGATACAAGGTTTATACATTTATCTTTTCAATACCTGTCCTATAAAAGTATATTCAATACCTGTCTCCATATCTTTAATACAAGGTTTATAAATATATATCTTCAATATCTCTCCTAAAAAAAAGTATCTTCAATACCTGTCTGTATATCTTTACTGCATGATTTATGAATGTACATTGTAATCCCTGTGTTATTAAAACATACTCTGATACCTATCTTATAAAAGAGCATTTTAATACTTGGCTTATAAAAGTACGTTTAATCCTTGTGTTATAAAATTATATTAAAAAAAACAATATATTGTAAAAGTTATTTTTAATACTTGGTTTATAAAAAAAAATTTTAACACATAATTAATAAAAAAATACATGATAATATCTGGCTTATAAAAGACTACTCTGATACCTGGGGTATAAAGATACATAGCAATACTTGGTTTATAAAATTACATTTGAGTACCTGGTATATAAAAGCATACTCCACTACCTGGTGTATAGAGGTATTATAACATTTTAATACTTGGTTTATAAAATTACATTTGAATACCTGGTATATAAAAGCATACTCCAGTACATGGGGTATATTGGTATTATTACATTTTAATACTTGGTTCATAAAAGTACATTTGAATACCTGGTATATAAAAGCTTACACTAATACCTGGGGTATAAAGATACATTGTAATGCTTGCTTTATAAAAGTACATTTTAATACCTCGCTAATTACAGACTACTATAATACATGGGGTATGAAGGTATTATTACATATTAATACTTGTTTGTTTTTTTTAAGTAAATTTTTATACCTGGTATATAAAAGCCTACACTAATACTTATTTTTACAAAAGTGCATTTTAGTACATGGTAAAGCCAGGAATATAGTTTCACAAGACTTGGAACGTTTCAATAAAGGGAAGGAGAAAAAAAAAAAAAAGTTCCTATGGCTCTCGTCAACTTTTAGCTAAGTTTCGTTTTTACACGGATTGGGCTTTTTGTGGGTGCCAGGGATGGTGCAGGGGAGCAGCCTGGACTCCTGGTGCCCACAGCCTTGGCCACAGGGACTGGCAGAGGGCACCCAGAGCTCACTGCTGCCTTTGAAGCTTCCCACTGAAGGCTTTGGACGTCAAGAAAATAGAGCAGATATCCCTTTTGCAAGCCTGCCTAGTCAGGGGGAGAAGGTGCTTGTCTCCTGCAAGCTGCCTCTCCAGAAGGGATCAGCAGCCAGCTGAGGAGGCTCTGCTGCCCCTCTGGGTGGCTGCTAACCCAGCACAAGAAAGAAAAGGACCTACTTTTGGCCAGTTTCCTCGCCCTCGCCTTGGATCTCATCTTGTCGGCTTGTGGATTCCTCTTCTCCTCCTTGAGCCCAGAAGCAAGGAACACACTATCTTCATCTCAGAAGCATTGTCAGTTCGGACACCTTTGCACATGCGCACAGAGCACTCAATCTGACACCCTCGCCAGGACTAAGAAACTTTGCAATGTATTCATCATCATCATCACCATCAGTTTTTTTTTTTTATACATATAGGACATATGGATTAGATGTTTTGGACATACATGTTAAACATGAAGCTTATGTCATATTGTAGTAGCACTGCTGTCTGTAAATATGTAACAGTTTATATCTCCATACATATATGTTTATCTTCTGCAGTAAGATCCAGCCAATTGATGACAGTACATACAGCCTCCCATAGTACCCTGCTGCTGCTCGCCTCCCCTCCAGCCTCCCATGGTCCCCTGTAGCTGCTTGCCTCCCCTCCAGCCCTCCATGGTTACTTGTTGGTGCTGACCTCCCCTCCAGCCCTCATGGTCCCCTGTTGATGGTGGCTCCCCTTCTTGTCCCCATGGTCCCCTGTTGATGCTGGCCTCCTTTCCTGTCCCCATGGCCCCCTGTTGATACTGGCCTCCTTTCCTGTCCCCATGGTCCCCTGTTGATGCTGGCCTCCTTTCCTGTCCCCTGTTGATGATAGCCTTCCCTCAAGCCCACTTGGTCGCTGTTGACGCTGGCCTCCCCTCCAGTCTCCATCGCCCACTCTTAGTGCTGTTTTCCTTACTGTCCCCATGGATCCTTGTTGGTGCTGGTGCCTTTCCTGTCCCCTGTTGGTACTGGCCTCCTTTCCCATCTTCATGGTCCTTTGTTGGTGCTGGCCTCCTTTCCTGTCCCTTTGGTCCCTTGTTGCTGGCCTCCTTTCCAGCCCAGGGTCCCCTGATGTCCCCCCACCCCGACAAAGGTCCCCTGCACAGGCTACAGGCTGCTAGCTGCGGGGGACAATTGTTTAACCCCTGGGGTGCCAGGACGCTGTGTACTACCCTGGGATGGGTAGAATCATGGCTGGGCATTATGATTACACTTTGAAATGCGCAATCTTGTATTTTGCTGGAGGCAGCGTGTCTGAAATGAGCAGACTAAAGTAGTGTAATACAGAACAGCCAGCCTGCATCTAATCTGTGATTATAGTGGATTGCTGATGGCCTGATGCTTTCCTGTGCTCTGTGTTTTCTCCATGAAAATAAAATGCAAAATAAAGCAGGTGATCGTTCTACATTTGTTTTATTCTACAAGTGTGTGTGTGTGTGTGTGTCTGTCTGTCATTCTTATGCATCTGGCGATCTTGTCGTCTGGAACACAGCGATCAGCACCGATTTGGGTAAGATGCAATTATTCTTATCACTCCGATTGTATACCAGGTGCCATGTAACACCGAATGGCACAGAGTGGCAAAGGTTGAGAAGGTCATTTAGAATTGCATGAGGCAAAGCGACAATTTGGTAAGTAAATGGGGACATTGCAACGTTCTAGGTGCTGCCATCGTCCAGCCAATGAGGTGCATGGCTAGTAAGGAGCAGAGGAAGAATTTGTAAGCAGTCAGTGTTATTACAGCTAAACAAAAGAGGTTTAAATGGCTCGTAGATTGGTTTGTGTCGGGTGACAATTGGGAGCAGGTCACCGAGCCATGGCAAAGGTCACAGCACTTGATCGTATCAGTATAACATGGAGAGAGGATGTGACTCTATTCTACAAAGCCCTCATTTATATATCACCTGATATAATAAACACCCAGAACTAATAATAATAATAATAATAATAATAATAAGTGACGCTGTAACATCTGCGTCTTTTTAGACACACTTGCAAATGATCCATTTCTTTATTATGACTTCAAGGGGCTATCCATATCAATCAAAACAAACATTTCATATTACAGTTATTAAAACAGCCTCTCATTCATTTTTTTTACATGACTGATGAAGATAAAGGTGTCATTAAGTTTAAGAAGTAGAAAAAAGTAGAAAAGTTTAAGAAGACAGGAGATATAAAATACTGCAAATTGTAAATGAAAAGTTACAGGAACCAATAGAAGGATCCTTTTGATAGGGGTTACATTGTATATGAGGACCGTTTAGAGGAGGACATAGAAAGGTAAATTGCACAGGGTGATACAGGTGGAGCTGTGCACTTCCAGGCTGGGGGTCAGTCTGGTACCCCGGGCCAAGAGCAATAAAAGGGGCTGGAGGGCTGAAGATCTCTGCTTCTCCTCAGCTGAAGTCCTACTGGGGCCCCAATGCAACCTTTTAACCCGTAAATTGCCAGGCTACAGCCAAGGTGATAGCTCCCCTGCATTACTCTGATCAGAGCCAACACTGGCAGCCTGCAATTCAGCGGACATAAGGCATTGATGGTACAATATAATCTGGCTCATGGTGGCAGGGTTGGGGGGCTGAGATGGGTCATAGCTGCAAAAAGATAACACCAATGATTGAAATGTAGAGAACTGAATAGAACAGAATGTAATGTAGTGTGTATGTAATTGCTGTGCTTGTTCCCTGCAGTCTGCAGTGCTGACACCGATGAAGAGGAGAGCACTGAAGGCTCTCAGAGGACCCCACTGTTCCCGGGGGGGCCCCTCTGCAGTCTGTAGCGCATCGCCTGGAGCCCCGCACGCTGTGCCGCCTGCTGGGGCTGTAGCGCAGCTAGTTCATGTCTGGGACGTCCAGGACAATAGGGGGATACTTCTACAGGGCGCAGTGACACCGATCGCCTGCCACTAGTATCAATGTATATCAATGTACCAATATAAAACAAATAACACCATTGTATCAGACAGTTCAAATGTTTTGTTGATATCACATCCGATCATTTACCCAAATCTTCACTCTAAAATAATTAAAACAAAATATTTAATGAGTGAGATGAATATCTTTGGATATTACTAGCTTCTACCTATAAATAATTGACTTTCTCTCTTGCCAATTCTAAAGCCCAGCATGTATTTTCTAAACTCCGAGCTTTAAAAATATATTTTTAATGACTTAATGTATTTCAAATGTTTCGTATTATTTACAAATAACGTTTGGAAAAATAGAATCGAAATTGTTTGATCCCTGTTGCTTTTTTTATGAACTAGAATACATTTCGTTACAATTAAATGTAAATTCGTGCTACAGTACAATAAAATAAAACATAAAAAATAGAAATAGTAAAATTGGTATATTTCTTGTTAAATCGTACATAGGTCGATGTCCCATTTTTATTACGTGACTGGAAGAGTGCAGGCATTAACAAGAGTCAATAATGACATTTCTCAGTCAAATCTTATTGTGTTGCTGTGAATTAGAAGGAAAATTCGCGGTTCTGGGGGACTGGCTTATAATGAGAAGGCAACAAGCTTTTACTTACCAACCCTTTCCCTTTTCTATTAATTATTAACCCCATATCTGCAATGCATTTCTCTCCCTCTTTTTAAACTTATGCAAAACTATTTCGTCTTGCCTGCTGGGAAGGAAAAATACATTATTAGAAAAGCAAACAAGCTTTAAAAGCTTTGTATATTATTCTTATATCGCCTTGTTGGATTATTCTTATTTTTCTGTTCTGTGTTTGTCTCTTTTTAGTGGCTGCATTGGCTCAAGATGAATATCAGACACAGGAGAGTTACAAAACAAAAAAAATGTTGATTTTAACTTGATTTTGAAGCTTTTTAATGATCCAGACCGGTTTGCTGAATAATTATTAGCTAGTAATTGAGTTCAGGACCTACTGTGGCTGTGGGAAATGTGAGTTGTGCCCATATAATCCCAGTAAAAGGTGCTCAGAGACAGCCAAGAGCCATAAGGAGTTCAGCCAGGGCTGGCTGGACACAACTGCACAATTGTCCCTGGAGGCCAGAGACTCACATTAACGATATACTTCATTAAAGGCGAAGGGGAGAAAGTTTGTGACACCCCCAGTGCAGGAATGTTACCTGTGATCTGCAGACAATCGTTCCTGGGGGGAAAAAAGGTCTATGAATATATAATAATTTGACCTCTAGCAACAGAGAACTTAGGGCTACCAGGTGTACTTTAAAAGCAGAGATATTGACTTGAGGTGCCCAGACCGTGTCTATAGACAGAATTGTAGAGGATGTTATTGTTGTGGATGTAACAGGGATGTGATGGGGAGAGAGAGAGAGAGAGAGAGAGAGAGAGAGAGAGAGAGAGAGAGAGAGAGAGAGAAAAAAAAAAAAAAAGTGAGCGGGGAGGGCGGAGGGGGTGCAGATATTAGAGAGGGAAGGGGAGATTGGAGGGTGGTGGAAAGAGCAGAGGAGAGAGACAGAAGAAAAGAGAGGGAGAGAACAGGAAGGACCCCAGAATTCCATTGAATCCAGCACAGATATGTACCTGGAAATATCTCTGTATAACACACACCTACACTATCCTCTGTACATCAATTCCGACTCTATTTATTGCCATCACTCTCCTCACTCTACTCCCTTAAAAATGAATAAAACACTAACAAAACACTTGTGATTCCGGATTCTCTCATTAATAAACAATTCTGGCTGAAGGGCAATGCAGTCCTCGTCCAGTCAATAATCAAATGCCAGGCGAAGCAGGAACAAATTCTACCCAGGCTAAATTCCCCTTTTATCCCACTGGTGTGAAAACGGATTAAAACACAGAAAATGAATGCAGTTTTAATATATACATCGCCCAGGGTGGATATTAATCAGTTGGGGGTTTTTTTTGCTCACAATTGCAAAAAATTTGTTTGGACGTTTGCCAAAAAGTGTGATTTCAATTAAAGGGATTTAAAAGACGAAGGGGGCATTGGGGACATTGTTGAGGTTTTTTTTTCCACTTCCCTTTTTTTGTTTCAGGAGAATGGATTCAGATGGATAGGCCATACCCCTAGGAGACCTTTTAGGGACCGCTGAGTCTATTGGTTTTCCTGTGGAAGAGGCTTCTACTTTACTTCTGTACAAAAAAAAAAGAGGCTGATTCAGTCTAGAGAAGAGCTGAACATCATTCTGCAGCCAAGACCCTTCCTCCCCCCCTCCTCCCCCTCCTCATAAAAATGGTGCCAGCCTGGAATTAAATTTTGGAATCCCTGCTAGAACCATTTTTCCGATGTAGATTAGCAAGTTCTCCCAAACAATTTTGTCTTGCAAGTTTGCCCAGAATAACTTTCTTTACCTCTTCGCCTCACCTAGCCATAATAAGGGCATTTCTGTTCC